CCCCTGCCGAGGGCGCGTCTGCCGCAATCCGGAGCAGCATCATCACTGGCGACGGAGACAGACGGTCAACTTCGTTCTCGTACAACGCCATCCGCCCCGGAAGTCTGGCCCTCGATGGCGGCCAGGCTGGGATTGGTGTCCGAGGCATGCAGATGGGCGAAAAGGTTAGCGTGGATCTTACCGCACCGCATATGGCCCAACTCCGCCCAGGTGTGCGCACCTCGGCCCTCAGTGCGACAGACCGTGTGTCCCGCATCTCTCGCGTATCCTTCGCTCCAGACACTCGTCCGTCGTCCGAGTATCGGCGCACCCGCGCCTTCCATACAGGCCATGTCCCGCCCCTTCCTGAGGCTCATACTCGAGATGCTGGAGAGATGTCTCCCACGCAGACCGATGGCCCACTCAGCCTCTCCGCCGATGACATTCGTTTGCGCATGGCTGGACAAGAGACAGCGCCGCGGGCGAGCGTTGATGCAGTTTTTCCTGCCTTGTCTAGTACGTCTCGTTAGATCTGCGCTCCGTACTTATGTTAACGCGTGCCCATTTAGTGATGCGCACAGGCAATGACCATGCCGCTGAGAACGATGACTTCTTAATCCCAGCCAGTCTCAGACCTGACGCTCCCGTGCCCCCCTTGTCCGTGCACCAGCAGGCTCTCCAATCTCCTATCATTGGAGCTATGCCAATGCCGCCGGGGCCTCCGACCGCTTCCACCCCCGACGACATGCTCCGCGCTTACGCTCATCGCTCTCTGCGCTCGCCCCCACCCACCTATGCCACGCATCCGACACCCGCACCCAGCTACAACGGTAGTGGGATGCGCACGCTCTACACTCCTGCGAGCGCGAGTCCTATCACTGCTACGTCGCCGCTCGCGCCGGATTCGTCCGCGCTGCTGATTTCGCCCTCGTCGCCGGGCTCCGTGTACCCCAACACGCCCCAGGTCTCTGAGGACGCGCAGCATGAGAGCTTTTCGCCCACAGAAATCAGCAAGGAAAGTGCCTACCGCGGCTTCGCTGAGTAGGCCAGGTGTCCGAAGTCGCCAACTCGGTAGTGACTGGATGATACTCCCGGCAGTTGCGATTGTACAATCAACGCCTGGAGGCCTATCAGACTGTTCCAGTATTGAAATGTGAGCAGATCTCTGATCATCTTGGTCCAAATTACAAAAATATACACATCCCGCTGTGCCTCTGCTCCGCATAGCCATTCTTCGCCTTGCGGGCTCGGTCTAGTTTTGATTTCATCTGCCCTGTGTTATTTTCCAGCCTCAGCCATCTATCTTGTCTTCTGCGATCCCTGTCCCTGTGGGCTCGATTTCCGTGTGCTACCTACCTCTTCTATCCTTCGCAGTCGGGACAGCCCCGTCTCCCCTCTACTTATCTTGACTCACTGTGGCACTTTATAAGCTGCAGGTATTCAAGGAATACTTGATGCTTAACCGCGTCGCTCGTACTTGTTATTTTGCGTATCATATCCTGTATTTATTTGTATTTCCGTACTGTGTCTTATGCGTACACTTTCGCCTGCTGAGATGCTCGTCATCGCCTACCCCGACGACGTATGGCAGAGGCTGCGTTCCACTCTACTTTTGTGCCATCTTGCTTGTACTTCTCTTCCTGTAGTACCGGCGTCGTGCTTGTTCGCTGGACGGATATGCTTTCGCTCTAGCATGTACCGCTGAGCGGACATTTCGCAACAGTATTCTTAACACGTCGTTCCGCGAAAGAACAAGGGTGGGAGCCGCGCGCGCGCACCGCCGCCTGCACTAGTCGAACGAAGAATGCTGTTGCCATTACCCGGGTATGCGCGAAAGATGATACATAAAGCAGGAAATAAACAGAGGCAACATCCGTGGGGAATTTGAAGGGCCGCGCCGTCCGTTGACCGCAACACACGGACCACGATGACGTCTACGATATCAGAAAACAAGAACAGATACTACAAGATCTGACAGGAACCGATCAAGCACTTCATTATACATCATCCTCCTATGGCGGTGAGCGTCGTGGGGACCGCGCTCCGGGGGACGCGTAGCCGTCCTGTAATGACGCCGCACTAGAGCCTGGGCTCCCTGCAGTAACGCGCGTGTCCATGGCTGCGGGCGGGCTGGCATATGTATATGGCGCGAGGCGGATGTTCTCGTCATAACTCATGCGCGGGCGCAGGCCGCCGACTGGATCATTCTCGGCGCTGTATACGCTGTACGACCCGCCAGCAGCGGCGACGCCGAATGCCTCGCCAAAATCCATCTTCGGGCGCGTCTTGCCATCGCGATCCGTGATCGTCTTTCGGGTACCACGCGTATATGGCCGGCGGAGAGCATAGGCGACAAAGAACTTGAGCGAGCCCGCTATCTCGACCGCAAAATCACCTGAGAAAAATAGAGTCAGTGCGCTCTAAAGCACACACGCAAGTTTGAATACCCACTGTAGTTGATGCTGTATGGAGAGGATGAAGTCAGCGAAAGAATGTTCTCAAAGTTAGGTCCTCATTCACCTGTCTATTAGTGGCCGCCCAATACCAGTCCGGACGCCAGGAACTTTGTACTCTGCGGCGGAGAATGCAAAGATCATGAACGCAGAAAAAAATACCATCTGAGGCGCGTACATCAGTTATACTAGCTATTGGCCAAAGGCTACATGTCTACCTCTATTGTTGTTGCCAATGCGTTGAGACCATCCGCAATATTGGTTTCAGTCCAATATTGCGTCGCTGGAAGATACGTCAGAGCTTCGGTTAAAGAGGAAAATCAAGAGAACCTTACCGTGGATTACACGACCTTCCAAAGCATCAAACTATTAAGAAAGCCATTGAGACGAAGACGAAAGGAGATATGCTAGACGCATACTATGAGGCCTTGGTAGAACGTGAACATGACAATGAGCTTGATCGACAGGAATTTTGCAAGTGGACGTCGACCCTTGAGCTCTTCCCGCGTCAAGCCATAGAATAAGATAAGCCCATAAAGCGCAATCCTGCCAACGTATGTGTTATACAGCTATCTTGGATGAAGATCAAAAGGACGTGTACGTTATACTTGCCGCATCGATCACTTCAATGTACGCATTGGCGGTCTTAAAACTTAGTGGGCCTGACTCGCAGAGGACGCCATAGGCTTGGCAAATGATACCGACAATAGACAATACTGATGGAACTGATAAGCAGGATGCGTGGCATTGAAGAGGTAAGCTCCACCTGGTCTGATGATCACGTACTGGAGGACGGACCACTTGAGGGTATACATGAAGTATGCCTGAATGAAAATTGTAAGACAAGACGAATTGAACACGCTGATCAAGCTATACTTTTGTTGGTCTGTATCTCCAGAAACAAAACTGAAGTGCAATCAGGGATGGTTAGTATATTCAAGGTGCCTTGTGGGCTCGACTCACCGGTATGGGCAACTTGGTCTTGTCTTTTCGCGCAATCGCGTTGTCAATGTTGTGATCTAATGCAGTCGCGGCAACAAACTCAATAAGCAGAAGGCTTGTCATAAATTCAACATCAGCTGGCCTCGCCAAGTCATATTGATCACTCACAGGAAGGCGCTGAGAGTGACGGACTGACAATCGCGTCAGTATAGCTCAGGAACGCGTTCAAACTAACACACCTCATATGCTACAGAATGAAGCATCCGTCAGCGCAAATAGATAGATCATAACGCTCGCATCGCGTACCCGATTCGATGAGAGAATAGTAGGTATAACTCCGAAAAAATCTGTAGGAAACAAAAGAAATGACGGCATACACGGCGGGCATGTACAATATTCGCAATCTAAACAGTTGGCGATGTCAGTGTGAAATAATAAGACATAAGGGCTAAGGCAAAGACGCACATCTGGCGTTGTTCCGAACGATTGGTATAATGTCTGCGCCGTCGAGGATGAGTTCATGCTCAAGCTTTGACAGACGAGGCGCAGCTGCTCACAGACAGTGTTGTAGCACGTTAAAGATAGTGAATACGACGGTCTATCAAACCCGACAAGTCAACGATCGAATGTCCTCACCTGTACGAAGCCAAAAAAGCACACGTACCACGACCGCACAACATCCAGCTATGAGCCATCCTATCCGGTGATCATCCCAGTCCACCCCCGAGGTGCTCCAGAAACTGTCTTGCTCTACCGCTGCCGTGTTGTCCGAGGGACACAAAGTGGAATTGACCATGTTTGAGGTGAGATCCACGTAAGTAGGTCACAGTGTAGGATGAGCTTGTGATCGCCAGTGGGATGGAGGCGGCGGGTGAGGAGAGGAAGGCCGTGGTATAGCGTCGAGGAATATTACAGGAGGAAAGATGTGAGAGAGAATGAGAAACGGACGGCTCGCACAGCCAGCTGCAATGAGCTGCTGCGTACAGAATATTGCCGCCAGCGACCGCGAGCCTGCCAGGCCTTTGCTCCACCGCATTTGGCAACATTAGTCAGCGCCCTGAGCTTGGCGCAAGCGATAGTCATGTGACGCTTGCTGCCATTCCACCAATCATAGCACGCCAAGGACCAAGGCCCACCTGGGTTCTGTCAAAACAACTTTGTTGACACACTCTCCGGTGGGTCGTGACGTTGACCATATACTTGCTTGAAAGTATGCCCAGCAACACTGACAAGACCGGCGTAACGAATCAACTTGAACGTGTGAGAGGGAATGCTGGTCGTGGAGAAGAATGAAGCCATGGGTGTTGGGCAAGCGGGCCGCCAGCCTTTGACGAGCCGTGGAGGCTGGCTGGCCGGCCATGCGCGATGCGGAGCATACTTTATCAATTGCATCTATCTTTATATCAATTTCACTCAAGCTCAGCCAACCAAGGATAACTTCAACTCCACGCAGTCCCGATACTACAGGGAGGGTCATACACCTTACACGGTAATTGCAATAGACAACAGCATCGAACGCATCAATAAAACAAATTGCACGCAGCCAACTGCACTAATAAGCGAGCCGCTCCAACCCAGCTGGTATCTATCAAAGAAGACATTAGACGACAAAGCCACGCCAAAGATCTAGAACCCAGCGTACCTTCCAACCGTGTGTTCTTGCCGCCCTCTTAAATCCCTCAATAGCTTCGTACATTTCATATGGCCTACGACATCGGAGTAGCATGAGTATCCACGTAAGTGAAAGCAATCCAATTGACCTATCCCAATTTTCATCCAACCTAGCAGGCCTCGGGTCGAGGTTTGATATGGCAAGCTTGATTTGTAAAATGATCGCCGAGATGCTAATTCGCGAATTGCAGCGTCTTTGCATATGAAATATTTGCCACACTAACCTGTAGCTCGGTAACCAGCCTTGGGATTGCATGAGCGGACATTCAATGAAGCACGACCTCAAGGGAGTGACTCACCGTCTGCAGTCAGTAAGTCCATACACATCGACCCACCTACAGAAGAGTGTCGGCGTGTGCTCACAGATGTGATGTATTATCTTACCTCCAGTGACGTGGCCTCCACCACCCTGCACGAAGGGATTCAGCACGCAGTCAGATAATCTCTAAACAAGAGGCTCCGCCACTCACCCGAACGAAAGGTAGAAATCTTGGCTTTAGAATGCGGAAGAACGGAGGCGCGTGAGGGAAAGATGGTGGAAACCGTATCTCAAACACGAGCGAATTGACACCACTGCTCATCGATCAGTATGAGATTACTACACGAAAATCAGATCCAGCTTACTGCTGCTTCATGTCTTTCGCGACGGGCAAATCCTTCTCGAACGAATGCACCTCCACAATCCACTGGAACAGATTGTCACCTACAAATTCGGGCGGCATGTACCACCCCAATTCCCGCAAGCTCTGCGCCTGCTCTTGCTCTCTAAGCATCGTCCGCAGTTCCCGCTGCAGCGCCATTGTTGCTTGTGGAAACGCCTCGTCCGGCGGGGGCAGCATGTGTTGCACCGTTGCACTTACCCACTCGGGGTCGTGCGTCCACTCATCTACATCTCGTGGTGGAGGGGTGGGCACTATCGGCCTGTCCGGCAATGAGGGAAGTGTGCCATTAAACACGCACACGTCGTCGCTGTCAGGGCCCACTTCAAAATATTCCTCCTGCCGTTTGGCGAGCAGCCTCTCGATCTTGTAAGATGGTTCAGGGATCTGGATCCACTTTTGTGACAGCGTGAGTGGATGTTTTGGGTCGAGAGAGACCCATGGGATCTGATCGAGATCTGGCACTGCGTCGCCTCCGGCTTCGCTGTTTAGAGTTGACGCTTTGACAAGGAGGTATCGGCTGCCTCACATTCAGTGTATGCTGCCTGACGGTAGAATAATACTGACCAGACTATCCAATGCGTTTGAGACACGACGAAGAAGGGTTGCTGGCTGACAAACTGGGAAGGTAGATTGACGATCTCCGCCAGCGCAGCACACTGGTGGACACCAATGGTACTACCTGGCCACCATATATCACTCGTTCTGGCATAGGATCCCATAGATAAGCTGCCATCCTTCGCGAAGTAGACACCTGCGAGCGTATAAGCGCAGAATATATGTAAAATACAGTTTGACATCACCGTGTCCGTGGGCCCGTCCATGAACGGTCTTTTTGAACCACAGCCCGTGCCGGATGATCTGCGTACACAATAAACAGGGATATGAAGTTAGGAATAAGCTACGTACAGAATGCCAATTCTCCACAGGGGAGCCATGGAAAGCCTAGAAACATATTTCTGGTATCAGCCTCTGCGTGGTACGTGGTGCGAGCCAAGTACTGACGTAAAGAGATGGGTATTTCTGTGCGTTGAAATCTTGACTTTGGGATAGCGCTACTTCTTTCTTGAATATAGCTTCCGCATCCGGAGCTCCGACGGTAAATCTGAACTGTCTCCATGAGGGATCTATCGACGGAATGGAGCTGATCAATGTACATAAATGCCCATAATGAATAGTTCGACACACCGATGTTGCGGATACGGTCCTCTGGGTCACGTACTTCTTCCAAATGAGCCGTACAAGACGCGACGCACCTGCAGAAAATGATATAGCATGTCCGTCTTATCGATGGCAATGGACACACGAACCATCTGAGAATCGACCAAGCGGCATCCGGTATAGATGTATCAATGTCTTTTAGCTTCGGTTTTGCATTGCCTGCAGCTACCGGTTTTTCGAGATGGTTTTTCATATCTGCAATCTATTCGTTTCGTTAGCGAAGGTTAGAGTATAGGAATTACGTCGAGTCTACCGGTGGCAGCTTATCAAGAAGTTTAACGATCGCGCGGCGCATCTTCCAAAATGGTGAAAACAGCTTATCGCTGAGCAGCAGTTGTCACAAACCTGATTTTTATCCAATGTATCGAAATCGCACACGTTATTTGGGGCGCGAAGAGGAGTTGGATCTGGATGAGGAACGCAGAGACCCATCCCGACCGGAAGCGGGTCGTCAAGCTCATTCTTCACTGCGGAAGTATAAGCCAGCGACACCAAAAGATCTACCGTCTCGGGATTGGTGCAGATCTCGTACTACGCGTTCCCCGCATTTAGTGAGAGATGAGATGGCATATAAGCTATAAAAGAGATACAAACCTCTAGTGAGGGGCCCTGGTTCAAACTGTAATACTGATATGTGCAAAGTTTGTTATCGCACAGGTACGGTTTGAGTGCCTCGTAGTCTGTGCTCAACTTATTGTGGCATACGATACAATAGCGCGAGCACAACTGGTGCCAAGCCTCTTCAGAATGCGAGGGCTAAACATCCGCAATGCAACTCACCATCAGGCGCCGGAAGAGATACGAGAACGCGATTAAGGGAAGGTTCAGATGACTCTCTCTGTCGCGAACGAGCAGAGGGTCAGGAGGCAGGTTGTAGCTCCGCGAGAGCTCTTCCTCTGCATCATCTGCTCCCTTGATTTGCTGCGAGGAATATTGGTACGATATGTAGCAAACTACCCTTCTATAAACACACCTGTCGCAAAAGTTTTATGACATCTTGTGGCTTCGACTGCTGCCGCTTCGCCTCCCAGCAAAGAACTTCCGCACCCGCCCATCCTAGATCATCATACTTTAGCCTTAATCGTAGCACATCAAAAAAGTGGTCTTTGAGCAGTGTCTCCAGCGAAGAGCTTAAGCTAAACGATTGGAATGTCGATCTCTCAAGCTCATGATCAAGTCTTCTCTCCGTATCCAAGGGGGGATCCAGAGGTGGTTCTCTTTGTGGGGATGCCTCCGTACGAACTTGCAGCCCGAAGAGACGTACAGCATCGACTACATGTTCCTTCTTTGGTTTGTAGTTGGCGGTGAGACCTACTCTAAATTGCGGTGAGACACCTCGCGTTTCTGTTGCAACACTCATCGACCCATCGGGCTGTAGGATAGGGTACATTCCACGGAACCCGTGTATGAGCAGAGTTAGATGTTGCGTCTTCGATAGGAGCCTGCGATCCCATGCCATCAGAGCTCGAGGAGGAATGTGGCGGGTGAGCGCAATGACGGGAAGCGCTACAGATATGGCGAATTCATCTACGCCAAACTGTATGAATCCTGGTCTGTAATCGAATCCTACGATATCAACGAAGTCACTGTGGTATAGAAGGTTAATAAGATATACAACTCATTGATTAGGCTAGAACTGACTGCTGAAGAAGCTTGACGTCGATGGCGTTCCTGTCAGTGGAAAAAATCCCAAAACCAGCATCGGAGTGATCGTCAAACTCATCATAGTCATATTCCACATCCTCGCCCTCATCTTCATCTTGAAGTATAGAGTCACTGCCCAGCCGAACCTTTGTCATATTTCCCAAAAGACGTTTAAGCATCTCTTCTATCGAGCGTGAGCCATCTTCTGGGAGCTCAGCGATCGTCTGTAAGACCTCTGAAGGGGCATCTTCATCTACCGAATGGCAGAAAAACGTATGATTATGGGGATATTCGGATGTATCTAAACGTTACCGTAACATCAGCCATTCGGATAGAGCAGACTGAATAGTTGTTTGGATTACTTACCGGAAATCAAGAAGTCTAGGGACACAATACGTTCATCCTGTTCGTCTAATATGTGGCACCGGAACGCGCCTTCATCATCTCCTACGCGCAGGTCTGGTGGCGAATGTTGCGTATGGATTGATCCACTCTGATCAATATGACCACACGTACCGGCAATTCTAAATCCGCTGAATTGAAGGCCTCCTCGGCTTGATACCTCTCCCAAGTTCGCTAAATCTCCTAAATATTTCTTGCGACCTTGCAAGGGGCGATCGGCGACGAAGCTGGTTGCCATCAGACGATGGGAGCTGAAAGCGCGAAGTCTTTTTGTTCGCGGCAGTGCAACGAACAGACTAAATACGAGTAAAATGCTGAACTTGTGGGTATTGTCGTCCGGAGAATAGGAATGTTTGGAATTGATTAAGCAACAAGGAGATATCTACACAACCTGACCATTCGATAGCAGGAGGCTATCGAATCGGAACAAGAACTCCGCTCGAGCTTTGCATGAGGGTTTTGGCAATTACCATAAATAGTCACAGCAACGCCACACGTGGCTCGTTTCTTGCTTCTACGCCCACGTTTCCTGCTGTCGCTCTCGGCCCCTTCGAAGAGATTTAATAACATACACCGGGTCATATAAATATGCCACTATCATTCTTGTAAAAGTACCATTTTATCGAATTCGATCTCTACATTAGAGTCTAGAACTGCTGATACTATGCACTTAATCCTACGAAATGGCATCTAGTTTCCAGAGCTGCAGTCAACATAAACTGATCGGCGACTCAAGACTTCCTAATTGATGTAGAATCCAGTTGCGGAAAAGAATAAATCGAGACTCTCCTGCATCTAGCCAGGATGTCCAGCTCCTCCTCTCGAGTCCTGAACTCCGTTCTGGTTTTGGTACTGGTCGGTGCGTGGTCAGCTGCATTCCGTTGCGATGGGAGATAGGCTCACTCTGACCTGCTCTACAGCCTGACATTTGCAACGTTCGTTAGTGCATATCTCTTGACGACATCTACGACTGACTTTGTGCGTCACCTTGGACCCATCACTTATTTCCATCATGCGTGCTTCTACAATTGTTGTCTTAGGCGCAGCAGCCGTGCCAGCCCTTTCCGCTTCAGTCCAGTATGTCTGAGGCCATGTTCTGGCTTCCTCGGTGATACTCACACGGTTTGAAGTGACTTCTATGGACGGGGCCATGAGACCTATTATCTCCGTGATCTTGCGGCAAGGGGAGTGGTCGATAAAATCCAGGCTGGAGCAAAGAGTGTGGTGAACGCCGTTACATACACAATGGAGTGCCACATTTATGCTAATGAAGATCTGAATGAAGAATGAATGTCTTCAGATGATTGAAGCAGAGTGGCTGCCATTCTGGTAGCCGTATTTGGGCTGACGTCGGCACTCAGGAAAGAATGGGAACGTTGGCACCCTGACCTAATCTGAATACGATTCTGTAATCTGTATTGTCTCATTTGGGCTTACGGCAGCGCACAGAACAGCCCAAATGACAATCATGAACGCTACTCAGGCAATGCTCAGGCGTTCTCGGCTCCAATGAGTGCTAACGTACATGTACGTTATGAGGGCTCAGGACTGACTATTCCATATGCTTTACTACAGCCACAATAGCAACTGTCAGGCTAGCCTGAACCAGGTCCGTCCTCCCTCGACCTAAATGAGCCGTCTCGCTGGTATCCAATCCATTGCTTGTCAGCTGCTCGAAGAGCCATACTTGGGCCGAGCTTGCAATGAGCCGAGTTTGTGTTTATTGTTCATCTGGTTTGTCATGATGGGTCGAGATGGATTGGCTACTGTAAGGAGTTCATTTTATTGTAATGGTGTGCGTATTGGAGGCGATTCTCGTCGTGGCATGTGTACCAACTTTTTCTCACTTCATCCTTTAGAGTAACAAGCTTCCTATCCAGGCTTGCCGCAGTAAAGTGATAAAGAGTGAGCTCAACGCCTGAAGTACCCCAACTCGCCAAATGCATGCTTTCAGATGCTTGATGAAAAAAGTAAGATGGATTGCGCAGTCGCGATTCGGAGCGCAGTTCTGATTCCATGAAGAACTCTGCTCCTGAGCGCTGAGCACCGGACGCTGGCTGACTGATATTGGTCCCAAGAATCTGCTCTGTCGCTACCAACTGACGTACGCTCACTAAGCATCTAGACTTCGACCCATCTGTCAAAGAACACCGTGTTCTGACTCAGCGATATGAATGTTCCATGTAGGAGACGTATAAGACAACGTATCGACTCCGCAGAAGCGAGTCCGCGAACAGCTCATCCAGCTCGATACACTCACCGACATGCCGTATCCCGAACATTTCAGTTGCTTTATTTTGGCATCTAGGCCCAAGAATGAAATCACGCCGGAAACGTTCCGCCTCGAGACTGTTCCATTCAACCCTAATCCCGGGCGAGGAGAAGTTCTGGTTCAGATACAATATCTGTCCATCGACCCTGCTCTTCGCCTATTACTCAACGTAGAGGGAGCATACAGAGAACCCGTAGAAATTGGTGGAGTCATGACCGGAATCGGTCTTGGTGTTGTACTCCAGGCTGGCGCTGGCGCTTCGCTAGTTCCCGGAGACATGGTCAGCGGAAGCCTTGGTGAATGTTGGATAGTTTTGGCATTCTGCGTGAATCTGATTGACTCGTACAGGTTGGACAGAATATGCCATCTTGGCTGAACATAGCTTGACGAAAATAGAGTCAGTCATTCAAATCGAGTTAAAACACTAACCTAACAAGGAGCTCCCATGCAGTATTCCCCGGGGTGGACAAGTATTGGATTTCCTGGGCCCATTAGGCCATATTGGTAAGTTCGGTGAATGGACCTGACACAGTAGAACCTAATGCCGTGGTATGTTTAGGACTAACTGCTGTCGTCGTATGTTGCTCGTGGCGAATAAGGCCAAATGTTATGCTGATCACTGACCACGCAAGGGCCTATTGGATTACGGTCAGCTGAGATCAGGCGAGACTTTACTCGTCTCTGGTGCGGCTGGCGCAGTCGGCGCCATCGTATGTCAGCTTGCTAAAGCACGGGGTGCAAAGGTCTACGCCATTGCCGGCTCTGCAGAGAAATGTGCATACCTCGAAAACGAAGTCGGAGTCCACAAGGCTTTGAACTACAAGACCCCAAACTTCAAGGAGGAATTTGCCGCAATTGATCCTTTCGATGTCTTTTTTGATAATGTTGGCGGTGAGATTCTCAACCTGGCGTTGACAAAGTTAAATGTCCATGCCCGGGTCGTGATCTGCGGTAAGTGATATGCAATACCAACGCCGAAACACGAAGCCTTATTTTCTCGAGGATAAGGTCGTATTGCTGGGTATAGTCAGTTCCTTTTCTCTCTCTGTTGATCCGCTTTTGTTCATTCGATCTCCTTAGATAACAGCGAGCCCACGCCGTTGACCACTTACGGCAACCTACTACCAAAGCGCGCCAAGATACTAGCATTCAGCCTGTGAGTCGCCAATGGCACGCAGGGAACAGTCGCTTCATTCCGCTCCCTTTGCAGGGTAGACGAAGCCGCTCGATTTGTGAAGGCGAAGGAAATATTGCTTAACGGCATTCAGGATGGCACGTTGCACCAGAAGTACCACATTCTACAAGGACTCTCCACAGCGCCGAAGGCGTTGAACATGCTTTTTAGCGGAGAGAACAATGGAAAACTGTACGTACTGCAAATACAGAGTGAGATGCCGTACTGAATGGCACATTGCACAGGGTTGTGAAGCTTTAAGCCGCGCCAATCCTCGGCTGTGGAATCTGGATATCCCAACGTGCTGCTTGAAATGCAAATGCAATCATATGAACAAACACAGCTAATTAATGAAATACCTGATTATCCCACTCGACTTGATGTATTGCCATTGTAGCGATTAGAAAGTTCGTCGCGCATCTGAGGCATGAGTCTGGAAAGTAAACATCGAATTCTAATGGACGCAAGATATGTTGGTCGAGTCGCTTTAGGAAAGCCAAAGACAATGAAGGTTATTGTAAGATAACCAGCTTTGATCGTGTTGAAAGGCGTAGTGAAGGTCGCTGCCAGATCTTTGTTTCAATCAGCCCATCGTTGCACTGTATTAAACGGAAGACAAGAACAAAGATGAATATTTATACGGCGCTTGAATATGAGGTCGACACTAGGTCGCCATAGATCGCCGTTACCATCCAGTCAAGTAATAGTTCATATATCGTTCAAGTTTGAGAGTCGATAAATCATTGATGAGGGCGAACTGGAGTAGGTGATGATGATGATGATGATGAAACTAGCATTTGTATAGACCGCAATAAGTAAACAAAGTGCTAAGACGCGGTGATAACCGGTTCGTACAAGCAGAACTGAGTAGTACATGATTTACAACTGGGCTATCTCTATCAAGGCAAGGGAGTAGGTGTAAGTAAGCTTTGGTCGGTCTCATGCCCAGACGTATTGGGAAGTCAATCGTCTCTGTCGTGCGTATGTCAATGTAGGATGTGTCTTCTTGTCCGTAGATGTTCGCCACACGGGCAGTCAACCAGTTCAGATAGTGCGAAGTTCTAGAGTAATGAGCCTATAAACCCGTGTCTCATTCGGCATTGTGAACTGATGTGAGAATGGATACGCAGGGACCTGCAGGGGCTTGCGTGACAGGATGCGTCTTGCTCGTGACATACGTAAGCGTACGTGACGCGTGTAGTCACTCATCATCGAATTTGAATCATCGTAGCCAACTTGAGGCAAGTTGAACGGCGCCGTCTAAGTGGATTAAATGAAGCGGTACGTGGTCCAGATTCCCAGAGCGTGCAAGTGTGTTGGAGGTGGCTCGGATACGGTCTTAATTTCACGCGAAGTAACTTCATCTGGACATTTTGGCGGCTGCGGGAGACTCGGAGGAGTTAGCACTTAGGCTATAGCCTGACCCGCGTTCTGATGTGGGTGAGACCCACATCATATTCCATATTGTACTAATCTTCATGTTGTAACTTATTCCCTCAGTTATCCAACGTTGTACTAGCTGACACCGGGCGAGCCCCTCATTCTTTCGCAACGGTCGGTGGCAGTCCAAATCAAGAAACGTTTGGAATGGAGCCGAGCTGAATTAGCACATCCGCCTATGCACAAGAACCACGCTTCGCAAGCATAATGGGGTTTTGAGGCGACCCACCCGATACCGCGACTGCAAGGGAGTGTTATGATCGTATCCCACTAACACATGCGTTGATTTGACAGTTCCCGTTTTGTAGGACAGCTGTGTCTATGACTAAGTGGACCATAGTGTATATTTGTCAAAGGACTTTCACGCCTTTCCTTTGTGCTATGCACTCAGAAATCGCTAGCGGCTACACCAATGGATACGGTCTTTGACGTGAGACACTGGCACTCACTTGCTCACTAATCAGCGTAATGCCAACTCGCATACCAAAAGTCCGTGGCATCTCCGATCCTACGTTCTGACTCAGTGGTCCAGTGAAGGCGCCCAAAGTGATGGATACGCATAAACCAACCTATAAAATATCGCCCAGTTCACAGCTCTCCTTGCAAGTACAGCCTACACTAGCATGTCTTTTCCTGAACATTACAGCCGCTTCCTTATCGCCGAGCGGCCGAACGACATCATTACGCCAGAGACGTTCTGCTTCGAGACTGTTCCATTCAGTCTTCAGCCTGGCAAAGGGGAAGTCCTGGTACAGACACAATATTTGTCCATTGATCCTGCTCAGCGCCTCCTTCTTAATGCGGATCGAGCATACAGGGAGCCACTTGAACTCGGTACGGTAATGACTGCTATTGGCCTTGGAGTCGTACGCGAAGTCGGTGAGAGTGTCTCGTTGGTCCCTGGAGACATTGTCAGCGGTAATCTCGGTGAGTCATAAGTGGATCAAGATCTTGCTTGCGCCTAATAGAGCTACGCAGGTTGGACGGAGTACATCGTTTTTGAAGAAAAAGGCCTACAGAAAATAGAGTCAGTTACGCGAACTAATTCAAGACGGAAAAATTGATATTTTATCGTCATCTGCAGCGTTCCCCAGGGCGCACAGGTGTTGGATTTCCTGGGTCCCTTGGGCCATATCGGTGTGTATGTTTATTTTATTCGATGTGATTGATTCTAATGGTATGATGATGGGACAGGGATTACTGCTGTAATCGTACGTTATATGTCATCGATCAGGGAGCCGTTCTGACCGGATGTTCTAGGGCTTATTGGATTATGGGCAGCTAAAATTGGGCGAGACTGTACTCGTCTCTGGTGCTGCTGGTGCAGTCGGCACTATTGTGTGTCAGCTTGCTAAAGCGCGCGGTGCCAAAGTATACGCCATCGCTGGTTCTGCGGAGAAGTGCGCGTACCTCGAGAAGGAAGCAGGTGTCCATAAAGCTCTGAACTACAAAGCACCGAACTTCAAGGAGGAGTTCTCCACAATCGAGACCTTTGACATATTTTTCGATAATGTCGGCGGTGAGATTCTGAACCTTGCTTTGACAAAGATGAATCTTCATGCCCGAATCATTATCTGTGGTAAGTGATGCACACATCGATAGACGACATTGAGATTGACCTCGTTTCTTGTGTATGAAGGCGCTATCTCTGGATATAGTCAGTCTTTTTGCAAAATATTTCGGCCTTGTGAACTCACTCCCCTTAGACGGCCAGGAGACACCACCTCTGACAACATACCGTAGTTTACTGCCGAAGCGTGCCAGAATCCAGGCATTCAGCTTGTGCGTCCGTATCAGTTAGCGCCACATCTGTATACTGACAATGTCTATGACTTGCAGGATGGATGAAGCTGCTCGGTTCTCAAGTGCTCTGCAAGTTTTAATTGGAGAGTTTCAGAAAGGCACTTTGCGCCAGAAGTACCACATTCTGGAGGGGCTTCCCTCAGCACCTAAGGCATTAGACATGTTGTTTACCGGAGAGAGTAACGGAAAATTGTGCGTATCAATGATGTCGTGTTCGAAATCCCACTGAAACGCATATTGCGTAGAATCGTCAAATTGTGAAGGATTATGTGCTATTTGGAGCCATGTGTTGTATTTTATTACAGCCACGGTGCTTCTGTACAGCCGAATAAATCAATGTTACAAAGCCGATTACAGCCACTTGAAAATCACTGAGACCAGATAATCCTGAGTCACTAAAAGATGAATATTCTACGCAGGCTCTAACTCTTCTTGCCAATAGTGGCTATGACCCATACTGGTCGAGACGTTAGTATCGGGGCAAAGATCAACACATTACACACTCGATGACTATCGGCACATTTCAATAATATACTTTTTCGGAATTTCTAAACCTTGCATGCATGTCAAGTAGTGCTCCAAGATCCTCGGTCCGGATGCCTCTGATCGGCTGCATCTCGACGACTGCAGCTTGCTCAAATTCATAAACCAACGTTCGCGACACTGGATAAGGTATGAGGTCACACCAACAATGTTCCTGCACGAATCTCGCGAGCAGCCTGGGAAATACAACGATATATTTGTTAGACACAGTACATGAGTTAGATTTTTCAAGCTTCGAGGTATGACTAGTACTCTAGCACTAACCCAAAAGGCAGAGAAAAAAAGTTGAAAGGGAATATGATCCTACGATCAATTCATTTCGCATAACCTAATACATTCACAGATCCACTTTCCCTTGGCTTCCCCTTTCTATCACTTTGGCAAGTTTAGATATAAATGGGTAATGTCGGGTTCAGCCCGATCCAGTCTATTCCTTCGACAAATTCCTTCTCATCGATCAAGAAGTCCTGTAAAGTTCAACCACAGCGGTCAGCGAGCAGGCACTCCAAGAGAAATTGGCCAATTTCACCATGGGACACTCGACAAGCGCGCCCCGCACAAGGGAGAGGCGCTCTTTGACACGACCGAGAGGAACCTCGGGCACGACATGACCTGGCAGGATGTTCGGTATGATATAGCGCTGCGCATCGTTCCCTAAGCTTAGCACCATCCAAACAAACGGGAAACGCGAACGACTCACCGAGTATGCACTCCAACTACGCACCAGATTCGACGGAATAGGGCGGAATACCTCTGTGAATATATCGCGGTTGCTCTTTGCAGTTCCGTTCCAGAGATCAAGCGTGGAGTCCGCGAGAGGATCTGCGACCATATCATCCTCTGGCTGAGACATCTCATTTGCGTTCGGATTCGGTGCCGGGCGCATGAACGACGTTACTCTCTCCTGCGGACCGTCACAGAACTGGGGAGGCATCAGTCCAAGATGCTCTGGGAGGACATATGAGCTTTGTAGGCCACGCCAGTTCCCGACAAACTCACCTCTGTACAGCTTGCGACGAAGTGAGGCAGCAAAGCGGCTAGCCATGTACGGCTTGCCATTCATGGTCGTCTCCACCATATCATCATCCTCAACTACGAGCGCAATCTCCGAATCACCATCACCCTTCGAACTCGCGCATCAGCACGCAGCCATCTCCTGAAGACAACATACAGACCTTTTGGCTGCGATCGTTGATGTTCGCCGACCCAAGCTGAAACGACCGTGAGCACCAACATGGCAAGAAAACAGGATGTTTACGTACAATGACCCTCCGATCGTCCACAATCATGACCTTCGAATGTATATAAAGCAACTCCGACACATAAGCTGCCTTCTCTTCCTCCGGTGTGCCAAGCCACTGTTCGTCCAGCAATGTCGTCCGGTCGTTCAGCATATGCTGCACCACGTTATCTGAGACGTCATCGTCACTCCGCAATTTCTCCGCCGCTCGTCGCCAGCGTTCAAGGATATCGCGGGCCTCATCATATGACTGCGGCAGCGAGTACGTCTCCGTCTTTAGCTCTGCTTTCCCGCCAGAGGGTGATAGGTCCTCGACGTTATAATTGCCTGTCGGGAGGACAACTGAAACGTCTTTTGGAGCAGTAGTCTCTTCATCTCTCCCAATCCAAAGTCGCGCGAGGGCCACCATTGCCTGGTGGAACTTAACACCACTGTCTTCTTCAATGATAGAGAGGTAGGACGCTAGAATGGGAACGCTAAGTTAATGCATACACCAGGAAAGAACGTGAGAATGCACATTTGGGCGCGTTAATCCGATCGTAGGCGCGCAAATGGTAGAATCGAATGTAGTCCGTCCTGCCTCCATCGTCAGTTCGGAGACTTAGACAAATGGAACTGAAAACCTACGGGTCAAACCCTGCCTTACGAATCAGTTCGTATATGCTGTGTCCTCCTCTGTTCATTGTACGATATTGCGCTGCCATAATCGTCTTCACTGCGCTATCTTCCTTCACTATTGTCGTCGCCAAAAATGAGTGAAATAGAAAGGAAAATATAATAGACAAACCTGGTCCTGCGAACCCCGGCACTTCTGGAATGACAACCACTACCTACATAAAATCAGCATTACGCAACTATCTATACAGCTATTGAATTACTTTGAACTTCTGGTTCTTTCGAGCAGCCATCAGGATTCGCTCAACCAACGCTGCGGCGATCTGATTCTTGACGGGTCCTTCGTGTTGGGTAGTTGAAATACTAGAATGAGTATCTCTAAGTGACTTGCACACACTTGTTCGAACCCATACTTACAAAAACTGGTTCTCTGTACAGATTCTACTATATTAGACCCATTTAAACTCTGAGAATATAAACGCACCGATATAAATGTAATGATTTGCTTCCATGATCAATTGGCAATCTGCACAAGCCTTTGTCAATTCAGCTTCATGATGCGCGAACTTCCACTTACAGGCGTTCTGTATACTATGCTCCGTGAGGACTCCATGACTCCAATCTGACACGCTCCGGATCGCTTGCACACGACACGTCCCGTTCGGCGGCGGCGGATACAACTCAGGGTCTTCTTCGCCGTACTCCTGTTCGCGCCTGTACAGCTGATGGTATCGTTCCTTGAAGTGACGTCCAATCTCATGCCAGTGCTCGCGGTGCGGGTGACCTATGAAAGGTCAGGGCCATTTAGGGAAACATAAGAGATACTTACGAATGACAGCCTCATTCGGGGACGCCTGGATGTTGTGTGGCAGGGCAAGCCAGTCGTATCGGCTATGAAACGCCTGTGAGAGGGTCAAATTGAGAGGAGGCGGGTTCATACGTACGGGTCGTGTTTGTACTTGACATAGACAAGGGTGAGTATGGTGTATACGGCAGGCTCCGCTGTCAGATTAGGCTCACCTTGCGCTTCTTGATTTCATTCCAGCGCTCAACGAAGTGCTGGACCAGATCCAGCACGGCCGAGCCACACAAGGTCATGTGCACCTAGCCCGATTCAATAAGCAGATGCAGCAGACCTGCGCGGATGAGCTCACATCGTGCCACGGCATTCTCGCGCTCTCTATGACACTGAGGCCATTGCTGACATAATTCTGGACGTTCTTGAAGTCCATGATACGGGCGTTGTTGTAGTCCTGACCGGGGAAGAGGGTGCGCTTCAGATCAGCAGGATGCACGTCTGCGAGGGGATGGGTGTGTGTATCCCATCTTCCAAAGCACAGATCGAGCCCGCCGACACAGGCGAAATGGTTGTCGATGATGACAAGCTACGAACGGAAGTGTTTAATACGCTCGAGCAAGAGCGTTGGTTGACTGACCTTCTCGTGATGGGACCAAAATTCGACGTCGTCTGGGCCAGAGGTGAGTGTCGCAGGCAGCGTAAGCGGTGCAGGACACACCTTGGCTCCCGATATGGTCGGGGTGTCGCATGCAGGCAATGTTTGGATGAAGAGCTTCAAGCGCGTGCTGGATGCCAAGCCGATCAGGCCTGATCGAAGACGGACGACATCAGCCACCGACGGACCTTGGTGTGCGATGAGCTCATCGACATCGTCTGGGTCACCTCCTTGTACACCACCACGTAGACCCGCACACCCTGCTCGGCCTTGCGCTTCAGCACCCGGTCCAGCCGCCATTCCTGGTGGTACGCTGCCGGCCGTCGCAAGTACAGCTCGGGCGTGAGCCACCAATCCTGTCTCGACGCTGAGCAGAACATCGCTCGGAAGGGGCGCAAGCGACACGCACCAGGATGAAGATCACCTCCCGCGCATTCTCCAACCTCTCCGAGAGCGCATACATGTAGTCGTGACCGTCAATGTGCCTGTGCGAGCGACAGTTCAGATCTAGGCCCATCGGTAAGTTGGCTGACAGACACACCACTTCACGAAATTATGCGATCGCTGCGCTGCGAACGAGTCGAAACGATGACCGGCGTTGATCTCTGCCCTGATCTCATCCTCACGTCTCTCCTGGGGAGTATCATGGCGTCCTGTTCATTTGCGATAAGCACCTGATCGATGGGATTATCGACACCGTGCAGATACTCACTGTTTGGATTAATGATGCCTGGTCAGGGGTGATTAGATGGCTGTTCGCTCAGGCGAAGCTAATACGCACCGAGAGCAGTCTCGCCAGCGTGATGAAGACCTTCGGGGAGTTTGTCCGCTACTTTCTCGAGCTCATCCAGCCCGCGGTCGAGCACGTCTTCGAGACCTTTGAAAAAACTGGACATGATGGAGTGCAGAAACGAGAAGGGAGCACAGCCTGGGCGTGCTGTGTTATCCTGAGCGGTCGGCAATGGCCGCACACCAAGAACGCCATGCAATGCTCGGGACTGACGTTGACGTTGAGCATTGGAGAAAAATAGGGATGGAGTAGCCGATGCATGCCCGTTTGTGCTCGTCAAGATCAACGGTCTCCTCCTACATGAGAGGACGGTTCGCGAAATTCATATGCCGCGACCCGAGATCCAGTTGCCAGTAGTACAGCGCGCGGTCTTGAAATCTTGTCGGCCGGACTCCGGAGGGCGTCGTACAAGTTTCGCGTAGGCGCTGGCTTCTCCAGCGATGCGTTCGCCGCTCTTGTGATGCCCATGTGTTAAAAGACTGGATATACCACTACAAGCAGACAAGAAAGCGGAACTTATCAGCATGCAGATGATTCCAGTATGTAGTACAAAAAAATATATATGCCTGACTTTTGCTTTAGCTATAGGCGCGCGTGCCACGTGACTGGCCTCTCGAACAGAGACCCATCGGAGACAGTTTGTCGAGGCTTGATTCCACTTGAACGACGCATGCGCTAGTCTTCTCTTTTAATTGGTCGGCCTTGTCACTCCCTTCCTATCCTGACTTGGATAATTTATCCTCCGATTCGACTTGAAGCTAGAATTGTACCACAGCGCAACTGTTGAACCATCCGAGCCACCCCAATGTCTGAGTCTCTCTATGCGTCCTGCGCCGAGGTGCTCTCTGTCTGCCAATCTTCAAAAGATGACCTGGCCACGCTCCTTGACCCTGAATCAGGTTTCGCTCCTCGTCTACGAGAACTCTGCCGCCAACAGTACGTACCTATTGGAAAAGGATTTGACCGGGCTGCGAAGGTACGACTGCGTGCTGATCTTTTTGGACAGACTCCACGAATTAGAGGAAAACTCTCCAGGGGATGTGTCGTTGTTGGAGATCGAGGCATTGAGGATGGAGAGTGATACTTGGGCGTTGCTCCAGGCCATCATGCCGTCAGTCCATCATTTGCGTATTTGTTCGCTAGTCCTATCGTCCACTTCTGTTCTGAAATGCTGCGGTCCATTCTGGTGGTTCGTCCACAGGAAGCTTACGCCCGCAGCTGCCGTGTTTGGGCACTGTATCATACTTTCCATCCATCCGTGTCTTTATTATTCTTCTACTGACCTCCTTGACGGCATATAGCCTGCGGAAAACGGCACCTCCAGAGTATCCCTCTCCACGCTCCCTTCTCGCCTCCAATCCGTACACACCACCCGCATCTCTCGCACAGTCTATTCTCAAGTCTTCGCCTTTCTTCTCATCTCTCGTTGTCGTACGCGAGTGGCTACACGAAACCGCGCCTGCACCTGTGGCCCTCGACCCAGGCGCAACTACAGGCTATTGGCGGTTCACAAAACACGTTGTCATGCAAGGTCTTCGCATGGGTAGACATACTGGAGGCATTGTGAGTGAATTGGACCCCGACGCGGTAAACCGCGAAAGTGGAGAGGGCCAATCGCTGGCTATTGACGATGCGGTGGGCAAAATAGTCTTTCAGACACTCCCTTTTTCATCTTAAATAACGATGCAGAGCTACGACAAAGCGCTCGTACAGACACTCTTTGCTCTTGTGCGTTCAGGGAGACTGGACGAAGCCGTGGACCTATGCAGGAGGGCCCACCAGCCTTGGAGAGCAGCGAGCATCAATGGGGCGCTGTTGTTCCGGTGGCGTGCATTAGGCAAGGACTTACTCGCATGCGACCTGTATCTACATTGCTCATACGCTCTCGATAGCTAGCGGTCCTCGAGAAGAAGACGAAGGTGAGGAAGAGATGGAAGTTGATGAAGGATGGCGCGGGAACCTTCGCAGGAAACTATGGAAAACCACTTGCACTCGTGCTGCACTGAATGTACGTCCGCCGCTTTCCGCATACGTAAGGAAGATCTGTCTAACTCATTGCAAAGCAAAGTCTCCCTCCTGCTGAACGCGCGCTGTATGCTGCACTTGCACCTTCCCCGCAGACTGCCGGTCCGCTCAGGGCAGCGTGCCACACGTGGGCAGACCAGCTATGGGCGTTAGTCTCTGTCGCGTACGAGGAGAGGTTAAGCTCGGGCCTTGCTAAGGTGTCAGAGGAGAGCTTCTGGGAGAGCGGTCTCGCGCCTGTCGACGGGGATACTGACGAAAGCTCTGTGCGCCGTTCAATTTCCATGGAGAATGATGATGAGATGGAGGAAGACAACTGGGAACGGGACGTATCTGCCGCACTCGAGTCGCTGAGCAGCGTTGGCGTTGAAGATGGGTAAGAGACGCAGAGATCCAACAGAATGAGCGTCTACTGACTATTTTGGCCAGCCCGCCTGCGGACAACCCATATCATATCACTCAGCTCAACATCATCCTAGACCGCACAGACGCGCTTCTCGATGCATTCGCAGAAGGGCTACGCAATAGCACGTACCTCACTACATCACCTGAGTATGTTTTCGGCGTCATCGCGCGCAACGAGATCTGACAGAGTGTCCATCCAGATACCCCACCATGACACGCTTTTTCGCACATCTTTGTCTGTATCTCAAAATGATTGACGTGCCCGTCCCTCCCCTTGCCACCCAAGTCATCCTTGAAGCCTATCTGCAGGTGCTTGAGGTACGTGTCCATCCGATTCTGTTCTCGCGATGCTAACCTCTACGCCAAGGCTGCGGGTCAGCGCGAGCTTATCGCAATGTACGCCGGTGCGCTGGGCGATAACGCCGTTGAGCGCTACGCGATGTTCCTCACATCCCTCGAGCTGTCCACTGACGCGAGCGAACGCCGACTCGCGCTCACGCGTGCGCGGGAGCACGGGCTCGATATGCACCGCGTCGCGATCGCCACGGCAGAACGAACAATTGAGAAGGCGTTCTCGGTGGGTGTTTCACCCCTTGTCGCGCAGCTGCACTCTTTAACAAGTATCCCCATCAGGTCTTGCCCCTGGCCAGGGGCCTATTGCCCTCCATCATTGGCATGCAGCCAGAACCCTCGGACGCGGAGTTGCTGCTCCTGCGCTCCATCGAGTGGACGACGTTCCTCGAGTCGACCTATCCGACTGCGCTCGAGCAGGCGGATGTTATCGTTCGGTACTTTCTCGGTAAGCCGTTCTCGCTGGTCCCCGCTTAAAGTTGAACACACTGACTGCGTTGCGTGCAGGCTGTGGCAGGGTGCAGCTAGCGAAGGCGCTGCTAGATATGCTCCCACCTGCACTAAGCACAATGCACGAGCCAGAGGACCTTGCGATGGAGCTACTGCATTACCGCCAGTTCTTCGTCGTCTGGGAGTCGCTCGCGCGTGTGGTTGAGTGTCAGGCTGTGGAGGCGCCGCAGATGACGAAGGACACGAGAACGGCGTGGCTCGAGGACTACAAGGTCAGTCTTGTGTGACTCTGTATGCGGCATGCAGTGGTTCATCGAACGCATGCAGTTGCTGCTCCAGCAGGCGCGAGAGCAGGTAGTGAAATTGCTGACTACCGAATGGCTGGTGTCGGATGTTGAAAGGAAAGAAGGTGTGGTGTCCGGCCGTGTTAATCCTAGATCCCTACGCTCATTCTCCGCCAGATCGGCGTCGGCGCGAACTGGTGCGCATCCGGCAAGTGTTCGTCCCGGAGCTGATCATCCGCCTGCATGCATTGCTGGTCGCGTCGAGGGGCAAAATACCAGAGTGAGTCGAGTATTGCAGCGCTCCTGTGCTTGGCCAGCTCTAACGCTACCTTGCAGAAACCTAAAACACGCGCTGCTGCTCGCAAACGTGGTAGCTGACTCTCGGTACAATCTCACCGAGGACTTTGTCAATCAGGACGGCCGGCGTCTCGGCGACTACCTCAACGCCGTCCGCCAGGCAGTCCTGTCGGGACTGGAAGGCGGAGGATCGGATCCGTTCAGAATTGTATCTATGTAATGTTAACGTTTTCTTGGCTGTCTGCTGTCTCAGTTCTACTTGGTGTGGCCTCTTACTTGCTCAAGATTGTAGTCTCATCATGTCGATGCTGCGATCGGCAGGAATGTCCGAAATGAAGGAAATCATCTGCTTAGGGAATAGGCTTTGAGCAAGATGTGCATTGTTTGATCTTCATTTTGGGCGATCATTCTGGTGCTTGTCTCCACAATGATCTTCATCCATCACCGTAAGGCCGAACATTTGTGCAGAGTTGGCGTACGCGCGCGCTAGTAGGGGTTGCGGCTAAGCCTAGTTGGAAGCGCCCGTCATGTCATCATGGCGAGTCTCCTCTTTCGAGTTCTCTTCTCTGGCCTGGCCCAGCTGGGGTTTGATTAGTGAGTCGCCTTAGTTAGATTATCTTCAGCATCACAACTGACGTCGGGCACTGTAAAAGGCATCTTCAGCCTGAAATAACACCCAATCGTTGGCCGCGCGGAATCCGTTCCGAGAGGAGGGGATCTTGCCACCGAATCGACTTCATGGGCGAAGATCCTCGCTTCCGGGATGTTATGTGGATAATCGTGCCTGGAGGCCATCCGGAGCGTCTTCCGAGTCGATACAATCAACCACCGGTGTCGAGGAATAGTGCAAGAAGGCTTGCATTCTGCTTCCTCATCACGCTAGAACAGCCGGGTACTATTGCTTGCAGAGCGTTCTGGGCATTCTGCGGTGAACGCCATGATCGTCTCGATTCTCCGCTCGCGTTACTCGGGCTGAGACCCACGATGTCTCGTTCGGTCCTGAAGCTCAGAGATCAACGACGCGAGATACTGGTGCATCATTGAGAAATATGGTGAGTCACGCACATGCGTCGCACGCCTACCCGTATCATTTTGATACTATCTATGCAATATTTCCTCGGAGCAGCACCCGCGCGGAATCCGCGAGGTACGTAACCCCGAAAGCGACGATCGCCTTCCTCTGCTCCCACCCCCACCGCTCACACTGCCCCCAGCGCATCGCCGTCCCACGCTCCCATCGATTTCCAGAGGGTGATATATACGTTTGGACATCAGTTAGAAGCCTCGGCATCCAATGACGTGCGCATGCGTACGCCGGTGTTCACGCCAGGAGTCGGTGTGCTTTGTATCGCAGGTGTACAGCGCAGTGAGTCCGCATCCGTGCCAGGTAACCCACCTCGTCTGTGCGCCAGCTTCTGCGGACGCGGAAACAGACTGCGGACGCGAAGCGCGCCGCGGTGCGTTCATTACGGCTCTACCCATGTCCAATAATCCACGAGACGACGACGTCGGCCTGGGCCTGGCGGAAGTCCCGCACGGACGGCTCGGAGGGAGTGCTGGGCGGAGGCGGCACCCCGAGAGGGGCTAATGCGGCCGAGATGATTGTGCGAGTGCAGATCAATCGACGCGCTGTCGTTGAGAGACCGTGGGGGCTGCACTGTGCCGTTCCCACAGAGCGGTTCTGTATTGTGCACAGGGTATGTGGCCGGAGCGGGTGCTGGTGGGCATGTCTGGCTGTGTCAGTCACAAGACGCGTGCCGGGCTCAAGGGTGTCGAAGTGGCTGAATAGGTGCATGGACGGGAGAGAGAAGGGTGTGCGTCATGAGCTATGCTTTCCAAGTTCTGCTTACTAGATGGTGTGCTCGGCAGGACACCTTACCATCACATCCCACGGGCGTCCCGACGACTAGCTATCAGCCTTCCCGAAATTAAGTACGATGTGATTCCGCGGGGGCAGCTGTTCTTACGGACTCTGCGTCGCTCCCTGCAGGGATGCACCGGGCCGCGCGGGCCCCGCTGGTCTCCCGATCGGCCAGGATCAGGGCAAGGAGAGGTGAGTTCAGAATTTCAAGCTGCCTATTCTCGCAGTGATCGCGCGCCCCGATCGATCTGGAGTGTCGAGCCGCCGTCGGTGCTCACAGGTTGAGTGTGCAGAGACGAGGCTTGCTCTCGAGTTCGTTTGCGGCGGGGTGGTGGAGAGGGCGTGCGTCGTTTACGCGCGGGGCTGGTTGCGCACATGGCATCGGAGCCGGGCAGAGTTACGGTATATAGCGCAGACACAGTGAATGGAGGCTGGGTGGCGATGCAGGCCTGTCGACGGGCGTCGGGTCTCGCAGGGAACATCTGCTGGCGCTGGCGTGTGCCTGGCGAAATTGCGTGGCAGATCCGGTCCTGGGGGGGGG